TGCCTGACCTTTGAGATCGACTCTTTTGGGTTAAGGGGTTTAAGGGCTTTAGGGGTTTAGGGCTTTAGGGGTTTAAGGGTTTAGGGTTTAGGGTTAAGAAACCTTGCAAAAGGGCGTTTAGGGTTTAGGGTTTAGAAACCTTGCAAAAGGGGGTTTAGGGTTTAGGGTTTAGGGTTGAGAAACCTTGCAAAAGGGGGTTTAGGGATGGCAAACCTTGCAAAAGGGGGTTTAGGGTTTAGGGTTTAGGGTTGAGAAACCTTGCAAAAGGGGGTTTAGGGTTTAGGGTTCAGAAAACTTGCAAGAGGGGCCTTAATGATTATAGCAGGGCATTGTGCGGCCTATTGGGTTACTTATAATGATATGAAGGCTCTAAGGTTGAGGCCATGGGCCCCTCGTAGGGGCCCTTAACCCTGGGATCCTTATACACCTCCTATATACCCCTATATATGTGCCCTTAAGGGCCCCTAGAAAGGCCTAAGGGTCCACATTAGGGGCCCAGACTTCGAACCTTAGAAATGCAAATTGTGCAAAAATGAGCCCGTAGGGATGATGGTCGGGAACGGTTTAGGGTTTAGGGTTTAGGGTTTAGGGTTTAGGGTTTAGGGCTATTCTGTTATGCTATACTCGAGCGGGAGCCTTTAGGGATTATAGTAATATAAGGGGCTTTAATAAATTGAACAGGGTTTCCCATTCTACTATAATTATAGTAAGGACCCCTCCCCCCCCCCAGAATAGTGTTGGCAATTATTTTGGGCCTTCAAATTTGGGTTTGAGGTTCAGGGTTTAGGGTTTCGGGTTCAGCCTTTTTTTTTCTCGCAGGGCTATGCCAAACCGTACAAAAGGGGGGGGGGCTTCAGGATTATAGAAGGGTTTTGCAGGACTAGGGTTTCGGGTCTAGGGGGTTTAGGTTTTAGGGTTTGGGGTTTTAGGGTTTAGGGGTTTTGTTAGGGCTATGCCAAGCCTTACAAAAGGGCGTCTGAATGACTTGGGCGCTGGGGGCTGGGGGGCTGGGGGCTGGGCTGGGGGTTGGGGGTCTGGGGTCTTGGGGGTGGGGGGTGGGGCCGGGGCCTGGACCCTCAGACACCTGGGCCGGGCCTGGGCCTTAGTCAATTATAGTAGGGCTTTTGGGTTTATGTTATGTCTATAACAGGGCGGGGAGACTCTGGTTTTGAGGGCTGGCCTTAGAGTTTAGTGTGGGGCACTAGCAAAGTAGAAAAGAGCTTGGGGGGTATAGGGTTTAGGCTTTAGGGGTTTAGGCTTTAGGGGTTTAAGGTTTAGGGTTTAGGGTTTTAGGGTTTAGGGTTTAGGGTTTGGGGTTTAGGGTTGGTTAGACTATAAAAGTAATGGAGGGGCCTGAAAATTCACAATAGGGCTTTGGCGGTCTACTCTAATTACTATACTTGCAATGGGGACTCTAAGGGGACACGATAACTACAGTAAGTAATCCTTCGAAGCAACTCTTAGGAAACTGCAGAAGTGAAGGCTGATCATACCTTCATAAAGCGGAGAACTGGGAAACACCAAGGGTGTGGCCCTAACCCTGGTTCAACCCCAAACCCTAAACCAACTGAGAAGCATCAAGGGTGTCGCCCACTTGTGATGAAACGCCAGCAGGGTCCAACTTGATGGGCTCAATTGGTGCCTAGGCTCACATGGGGGCGTTGGGTCCCCCTGAAGGTTCCTATAAATGGTGGTTGCCCTATAGGATGTCTCAGGGTTACTATCCGGGCTTAGAATAACGGCCTTAATGGCTAGACTAGTGGTCCGTATAATAGATTCTACTAGCAATAATTGCTAGTATATCAATAGAACCCCTGAGCCCTCAACCCTGAACCCTACGGTACAATGATATGCTAGAAATAAGGCACCCCTAAACCCTAAACCCAGTGGTATTGTATATTATATCGGATACAGAAGAACTCCGAGTATGAGGAACATCCGTCCTTCAAGACAATGCCACATCAGCAGTAATGTAGGAGCCTTACTAATCAGAATAGGATTTCGGGAGCTTCTTAGTATACTTCTAGTACAAAATAGCCCCAAACCCTGTTCTAATTATGAAGGCCCCTATATTAGATGCTAAAAGAAGCCGGATTCACCAAGAAATTCTCCTGGAAGTTCAGCAGGGCTATCGTTTTGGGCGCTGCTTGGTTACGAGGTTTGCGGTATGGTTTTGGTTTGGCTCCTGTGCCCTAAGAGTGCCTCGTCCACACCCTTAGCAGTTTGGGTGTATGTTTTGCTTGGAGGATCATGGGACTTATTAACGAGGGCTAAAAATAAGGTAACTATAATTATAACCCCAATTGCCCTACTTTAACCTTACTTACTAAGTCCCATGATCCTCCAAGTCGGGTGGTTTGAGGGTTCAGGGTGTAGGCTTCGGAGGCAAGAGCACAACCTGCCGAAGGGCTAAGTGTTGGCTTTCAGCGCTCCAACAATCTTTCTTAATGTAGGGGCCTTAACAATTGGAATAAGGTTTTGGCGCCCATTCTACTATACTCCTAATAAGGACCACCCCCCAAAAAAAAACAAAATGTATAGGCAATTATTAAGGAGACTATATTAGATGTCCAGTATCCGAGGGGAAGTAGAGGCTAACCTTTGGGACTATATAGGGATGAGAGTACCCCAGAAAGGTCGAAGGCTACCTACCCCACTACTACACCCGAAACCCTGAGCCCCAAGACCACAACCAAAAAGCCCTAAACCCTAAAACCTCAAACCAAAAAAAAACAAAAACCCTAATAAGCTTTTTCTGGGGAGAGGTGTCAGTACAGTGCGAACTGCAGTAGAAGTCCCACTCTGGGAGGCTCCGTCAAGCTGCAACTAGGGTTCTGGATACCCTACGTGGGGCTATCACAGAGGTAATCATGGTATCAATTTACGGTATGTTTATAGTATCTATATCTGCATGTGTATATAACATATATATATATATATATATGTGCCACATCATGTTTTAGTGTAGTCAAAACGCAGTATCGGCACGTGTGGCGGACACTACGATGCGAGACGGGCCCGAAGTGTAGTCATAACCTACACACGTAGTGCCCTGAGCCGGCAAGCACCTGAAATGCCGGGCTGCCGGGCGCTCGCCATGTTTAGCAGGATCCACCAATTTTAGGGTTTTAGGGTTTAGGGTTTAGGGTTTAGGGTTTAGGGTTTAGGGTTTAGGGTACCAAGCGGGTTGCTGGATCTGAATGTGGAAAGGCTCATCCAAGTTCGCGTTCCTATACGGAACTTGGTACAGCTGGCAATAAATTACAATGGGAGCTGTTTCTTTGCGATTGTAGTAACCAAGTAATAAAAACTTGTCCAATCACCTCTAGGCTTCGCTCGTATCAAGAAGCGAATCGGCGCTTCGTAGGCGCCCCAGAAGAGCAGTGCCCAGTGCAACCCGAATCGCAAACTTGTCGTGGGCGACTGAGCCAGAATCTCTGCCATCGCGTCGACTGCTCCGTTTGAACATGCAACTTGAAAGACGCCCATGCCGACAATATTTCGTCGTTGAATATCTGCACGAGCTTGGCACAAAAGGCGCAGGCCAGTGTGATTGTTTGCCTTAATTACTTCCCCAATAGCTCAAGGAAGCAACAACTTGAAGTTTCGCAAGACAACTAAACTCTTGGAGAAGTTGCGAGGCTCGCCCAATGCGCAGCAGTAGCATGGATCCTGTCTGTACGTGTAAGCGATGCGCGAGCTTTCAAGAGTACCTCGATGACCTCTCAGAAGACTGGAAACGCGGTTTACGGGTATCCTGGTTCATGATAGGGATAGTAGCAACAATCTGAAACTCGACTCCTTATTGAGTTTAAGTACCCATAAACATGTAAAGCGTTACCCAAATATGATAAAGTTTCGTAAGGGTTTTGAGGCTTAGGGTAGCTGCGGCTGCGACGAGATCTGCGGGAAATTAGAAGTTCGTGCTGCTACTGAAACAGTTGCTGGTTTTCATTCTTGACGGTTGTAGCTATCGACTATCATATGTTCCCTCTTCTGAATGTCATTCCTTTCTGATGCCCTCCGAGCTGAAACCTTAAGTACAATGGCCCGAATGGCTAGAATCCTCATATTGGGACTGTCAGGGAATGTTGCTTCTGACTACTCCCCTGTACAACCTGTATGAAACCCAAAGAAATTTTGGAAATTTGACCCTAAACCCTAAACCCTAAACCCTAGACTGCCTCGGTGTTGTGGAATCGAGCCGCTATGGAAAGGGCGCCCACTTGAGCGGGAAAAAGAGATCCCTCCGACCGTCGGATCCGATCCTCTGGATTTGCCTTTCAGGGACCCAGAGAACCCAATACCCCTTAGTTAAGGAATAGACCTTAAAGGGCTCCTTAAAGGGATCTATAGAGGTTTAGGGTCTGGGGTTTAAGGGAATTAAGGAATATACCTCAAATCACAATATTGAGGCCCTTTTAATTCAAGGTATATTCCTAAATTAAGGGATATCGGGTTCTCTGGGGAGCTTTGGTGAAGCGTCTGGGATTGGGGATTCTAAATTACTAGAGGACGCCGCTAGGTGAAGTGTCTGGGGTTTACGGTAGAAGTTGGCGGCTAAAATTCTTGGAAAGCATAAGCCATGCGCAGCTTTTCGTTGAGCCCTGGAGCTCCAGAAAGTTTAGGTGTAGAGCTCCGGGTACTTAAACCCCAAAACCAAAAGCCAAAACCCTAATTGAAACCCCAAAGAAACTCCTTCAAAGTGCCGATATAGTAGAATGTAGGGTTTCTATATTAGGAACTACAATTATCATTTAGGGAAGTATCCCCCCATAACAGTCTACTTGCGAAGTCTCTGGCCCTGGAAATCTTGGAGAACCTTCCTAAAGCCCTTCCAAAAGCCACCTGGGTTTAGGGTTTAGGGTTTAGGGTTTAGCCTTAAACCCCAAACCCTAAATGCCCTAAACCCAAAAACCCGAACTCGCCCTAAACCCTGGGCCCAAAATTCGAATTGAGGCCTTTCTGTCGAGAAGTGCCCGCACGTGCATTGGGTTCCCGTTCATGGCCGCAAAGCAGAGTGGCGACCAACCGGATCCTCTCCGCAACCATGAGGGTTTGGGGTTTAGGCTCCTAAACCCTAAACCCTAAACCCTAAACCCTAAACCCTAAACCCCTAAACCCTAAACCCTATACCCTATACCCTAAACCCCTAAACCCTCAACCCTAAACCCCTAAACCCCTAAACCCTAAACAAACTTCAAGAGGTGGCCTTCGTCCTCCCCGGCACCGCCGGGTCCGTTCCACGGGCCCCGGTGGTCGCGCCG